TTTCCATGCTTGTATGATGATTAAAAATCATTGGAAATGGTTATACAATTTTTGGTCATGTTAGGGTTTGATGAAATTGAGTAGTTTGAATTAAAGTTGTTATAGAATTGGTTGGAATTACATGCAATTCATGTTAGGAGCGTGAATTCATTCTTGAATCAAAATGATGCTAAAAATACCCTATATCATTTGGCCATATTGAAGAAATTAAGAATGCAAAACAATGAAAACTGTTTAGATTTTTCAATCTGGCAATAAGTTTGAAAAATCGCCAGAAATTATATAAAAATGATTATGAAGTGATTTTTATACCGTTGTGTTTTTATGTCAACTTACTTTTGTTTAAACCAAAAGGAGATTGATTTCAAAGTGTATAATGAAAGATATGAATTTTTTTATCAATGATAGGTTAGAAAACATGGCAGTAGATTCTGCTTAAAACAGATTCTGAAAATTGAATTAGAATATTCACTATAAATTGTACAAGTTGAATTAGGAGTTCTTTATATGGTTAGATTCATACTTGAGTCTAGTTTTGAACGAAACAAACAAAATTAAATTCAAGTGTGTATATTAATACAAAAAAAAATAATTCTTTAAGGGTAGTGCAAGTTGTAAGAATTTGTAAATTTTAGAAATGAAGAGGAAAATTGATTGAAGTTAATGTACTATGCTTGAATTTGAAGTTAAATGGCAATGGACCATTTTGAATAAATTGGAAATGTTGGGAAGAATTCTGAATAAATTCATTTTTATGGTTAGATCGTGGATTTTGAAATAGTTAAGAAATATATTGGTTGATATGGGTATTATGAGAATTGAAGTTGTATTTTGAAGTGTTAAGGTCGATATGGATTATACGAAATGGATTAGTATCGAAAGAAGTTTTAGAAATTTTATGCTAATGTGCAACTATGTCCATGATAGTAAGATACTAATATGTGCTTTGAAATTATATGTGATGTATAAATGATGAACATGTAGACGTGGTCAAAATCGAAATCAAAACAAGCTTAAAGCTAAAGAAAAAGTTCAGGAGTGCAACTATTAAGGCATTTCCAGGTGAGTGCATTTTACTTATATTATTATAAGTAATACATAAGGAATACTTGCGATGAGTCAACCTTCAATGATTTGAAAATAAAATGATTTTAGTTTTTTATTATATTTTATACTATTATTTTGTTTAACGATTTCTTATGAATAACTTCGGGTATGAACTGCCCAATGCATTTTTATATGTTATATTTTGACATGTTCGTATTATGAATACTTAAAAATTCAAATGATATGTGATTGTGATGGAAAAACCCATTTTATGCATATTGAGATTTATATTGTATGATACTTGATTTTGTCAATATTTAAAAAGATTATGATAAGTGAATGATATATGATACTTTATTGTGATGATGTTTGAAAAGATTTTGATAAGTGAATGACAAATGATTTAAAGAAATGCATATTGTAAATGCATTGAGAGTCATTGGTATAAAAGTGGAGCATTTAGCATGTCTGACATCACTTTTGTGACGGTGGTGCTACTATTAATGATAAATAGCACATCTAACATCTGTGTGATGATGGTGCTACTATTAATGATAAATATCACGTCTGACGTCCGTGTGACGGTGGTGCTACTATTAATGATAATTAACATGCCTGACGTATGTGTGACGGTGGTGCTATTAATGGTACCTAACACGTCTGACGTTTGTGTGACGATGGTACTACTATTAATGGTACCTAGCACGTCTGATGTTTGTGTGACGGTGGTGCTACTATTAATGGTACCTAGCACGTTGGACGTCTTTGTGACGGTGGTGCCACTATCAATGGTACCTAGCATGTCTAACGTTACTTATGTAATGGTGGTGCTACTTATGTATATGCTCATCTTACTCGCATATATTGCATTCTCAGTGATTTACATTGGGTTATGAAATGAAAAAGTGAATAGTATATGTTATAAAATGAAAGTGAATGATCTGAAATGATTCAGACTATGAAATGAATAAAGTGAAAGGCACAAGATTGATCTGAAATGGAAATGTACTAGTTGATCCATTTACATGTGATTTCCGTACTATGTGTTGAACTAAGTTTTGATATGACAAATTAAGGCAAAATGTTTTTGGACTTGAATTGAATTTATTCAAAATTTTTTAAAGATTTCAAAAATAATTTAAAGTTCATTTTAATTTGGAATTGAGCACAAAATGTTTTTATGAATAGTAATGTATTGTATGAATAGTACCGATACTATCTGAATAGTATTAATACTATATGAATAGTACCGATACTGTGTGAACAGTAATGAACAACAAAATGGGTACCGATACTGCTACAGTAGTATCAAGCCCAACGGTCAAAAATTCAAATATTACAAAGGTAGTATCGATACTCATTGAAAGAATACTGATACTACTTGTTCTGGGCAGTTTTATTTTGCAGAAAATGAATCCCCAACGGCTCCAAAACATCCCCAACTGCTAAATACATCTTCAAACTCATTTCAAGCTATAAAAACAAGCTGAGGACACTTGAAGAATATAGATAACAACTATCCAAGCAATCAAACACAAGAGAAGAGTTTTTCATTCTTATTTCATCTTTCTCTTGTAAATATTTCTTTTATGGTGAGCTTAATTCTTGTAAACACCTACCTTAGAGAGGTTTTGTTGTTTACATTTCCTTTCATTGTAAAGGGGTTTTGGTTTTAGCAAAGCATGCTAAAAGCTAGGGAAAAGGTTATAGTTTAGCCTGTGAAAAACTAGGGAATTTGTAAATGTTATCTCTTTGTCCTGTAAAAAGAAAGAACAAATTAGTGAATTTGTTGGAAAATCCTTGGTGAGGAGCTAAGGTAGTGGATGTAGACTTGTTTGAGAAGTCGAACCACTATAAATCGTTGTGCAATTTTCTATCTTTCAACCTCCTTACTCCCTAAACACAAAAATCGACCCGACCCCTCTTGGCGAACCCTTTCGGTTATCGATTCGAGCTTTTGCAAATCCCAACACTATGTATTCTCATTTATCATACAATGGATTGTGATATAGCACTAAAAGTGTAAATTGTTTAGAAGGTAGTTAAATCGTATATGATCCATTTACATGTGATTTCCGTAATATGTATTCTCATTTATCATACTATGGATTGTGATATGAAATGATATGTGAACATACAAGTTAATTGATATGATTGAATGAAGAGCTTTTATTGAAAACTTGGTAAGACATCAAATATCTTAATATGGTTTGATGAATTACAAATCAATTTTGTATAATGCTTTCATACTTTATATATATACTATGTTTTGCTATACTATGTTTTACTTTTATTATTATTATAATTATAATGTATCACTAAATGTATACTTAGCGTGTGATGATTTTCACATGTAGGTAAATAAGAGCGTTCGGAGTAAAGAGCTAAGCGTAGTATCAACTTTTGAGGATCATATCCGCTCCAGAATCAGTATGGCATCTTTTTTAATATTGATATTACTAGTTGGCATGTATACTATGTGGTTATAATACTTTAAATAGATATGTTTGAATATGGTTTAATTAGATTATACATAATATTATTGTTTATGAATAATAGTTTGTTGATTAGTATTTTAGTGAAAATAATTTTTAATGTTATCGAAATGAAATATTTTATGATCTTTGATAATAGTTGAATAATTTTAGAAAAAAATAAAATTGTATTGTTTTTCGAATAGAACTGTATTGAAATAATTATGTGACATCCTGAACTCGTATGCGGTAACGTATACAGAAAATAAGTGTTACATAATCGAAGTTATGTTATTGTTTTACAAAAGAATGATAATTTATCTTTACAAGAAAAAAATTGATTCAACGAAATAGTTGTTATAAAAAATTCTTCAACGAATTTCTATAATAGTTGACTACATCTAGAAAGTTATCAACTTCACTAATATTTTTCAGTGCCATTCTATAAGGACTGGAATTTTATTCGGATAAACCCAAATCCTATTAAAGAAAACAATATATCTAAAAAGTGAGACTTTAGAAGACCAACATTCACATAATAAAGATAGTGTTTAGGAAATATAAAAGGTCACATTTTATAAGGTATATAAATCACATATATCAAATATCATAATTAACGAAAATAAAATATATTTGAAAAGATAAGGGTAGTCGTCATTAATTTTTTAAATTTATGTGTGATTAGATCATTTAAAAATATGTTATTTTAAAAAAGATAATTTAAAAGTTCTATTAAAACAGCAAATTTAATCAGTAAAATTAGACAAATGGGTTTAGAAATGTGATTACACGCGAGGAAATGTTAACACCCTTATGATGTCCGCTAGTATAAACAATATCATTTAATCATGTGGTATTCTTAATTTGATTTAATGAATATAATTTTGTAATTTAAATTCAATTCCCTTTTATTTTTATTTCGATTTATAAAAGACATTTATTTTAAAATAAAATAAATTTATTTTAAAATAAAATAAATTTATTTTGAAAAAAAACATAATTAGTATATGTTTTAAATATTTAGTATATGTTTAACTTTAAAAAATTAGTATATGTTTTAAATATTTTTTTTAAATTTAACTTTAAAATCATTTTATACAAATAAATGGATAAAACTATTAAGCTAAAAAAAATTATTGACATTCTGGACTCTTTTTTTTTTCTGAACGGAATTCATTTCCATTTTACATATTACTTTGAATCCGATTCTCCTTTAAAATCAATGCCCCGACCCCCGCGTCCTTGTCCAGATTCAAAGAGTACCGTTCACACTTGGGTCATCTTCACGGAAACGTTAACGTGGAACTACTGCTGACCACAAAATTTTGCGTCGGTGACATAAGATAATGCGTCACGTGTTCCCTTAGCATTATAGGTGGCATTCTCGTAATAATTCTCTAAATTCCTCTATAGAATGGGTTTGTACCCTAAGTTCACCACCAGACAAGCGAAGGAACAAGAAAAGGAATCCGCTTTGGAGAACTTTATTAGCTTCGAGATTGAAAGGAAGTGAAAATAATGGGGGAACAGGGACAAGTATTCGCCATCCACACTGTTGAGTCCTGGAACGAACAGCTCGAGTTGTCTAAAGCCACAAAGAAACTGGTAAAAATCTTCTTTCTTTGTATTAACCAAGAACTGGTAAAAAAAATCTTTTTTTTATATTAGCTTGAAATTTCTGTTTCTTGGATTGTTTCGAAATATGGGTTTTGTGTACTTATCTGCTTTGTATCTTCGGTTTGTTTGAAATGAGGTTAATGATTGAAAAATTATACTAAAACTTAGATTTGACCTCCCCCGCTTATTTATCACAATAGTTGGTGATTACTTGGCGAAATTCATACTGTTCTTGGATCTCTGGGTAGGTGGTGGTGGATTTCACAGCTTCGTGGTGCGGGCCATGCCGTTTTATGGCACCAATCCTGGCTGATCTTGCTAAGAAGCTGCCTCATGTCACATTCTTGAAGGTGGATGTTGATGAATTGGAGGTATGAACTCAGTTCTCAAACAATTGCTTAATGAAAAACATGTGATTTTTATGTTAAATTTGTTCAATACATGTTTGTGTTTTTTGCAGCCTGTGGCTCGGGAATGGGGAATTGATGCAATGCCAACTTTTATCTTCCTGAAGGAAGGCGAAAAAATTGACGAGCTTGTGGGTGCAAGTAAAGATGACTTGCAGCAGAAGATAGACTTGCATTCTTCTTCCCCGGTGCAGACTGATTGAATCATTTAAAATATTTTCTTATAAAATGTCCTTCTCTCCAACAGAAGATATTAAATAATTTGTGTTTGTATTTGTATTTGGCTAGTCTTCTTTTCTCCTTGTTTCTATTTGAACCCTAAGTTACATTATATATTGTTGGAGTCAAGTATAGATTATGAACATAAATTATAAAAATAATAATAAAAGTATTGTCTTATATTTGAACCCGAAGTTTCATTATATATTGTTAGGAATTATTAAAAAAAATGGTACAAATATTGGTTTCAATTCAGAACTAAATAAAAAATAGACATTCCCAAGTAAACTATCAGTAACCAAACAAAGAGAAGGGAGAAAATCACTTAAAAGGATTAAGCATGATGTTAAATTACCAAACTGAAAGCAAACATACTGCGAAAGAAGGGGAAAAAAACTAAAACTAAACAAAGATTGTCCTAAAAACTAAGAAACAGTAAAGTCGGCTACAATCAAACGCAGAAATCAAAATTAAACATCCAATTCAGTCGTAAATTCAAAAATTTTTAAAAAATGAAATGATCAATTACAAGAAACAGAACCCAAGAATTTCATCATTTTAATTTGATTAACAAATTCCAAGTTATGAACGAATTATGAGGCTGTGAAGAAAAAAGAGAGGATTTTCCTGTAATACTAGCTAAAATCGTGAAGTCAGATGCAAGAAAAAAGCGATATTAGTATAAACAAAAGGAGAGAGGACTTACCAGGAGAAAAGGAGCACAAGAAACGGGAACTGGTTTTTATTTCCTAGGATTTGACGAACGTCGAAGAAAACAAAAGGGAATATACATATAGAAAAACTCTATTATTTTAGAGTATTATTTTCATTTATAAATGCTAAATTAAAAAAAAAGCGTTATCCTCGGGAATTAAATACTACTTTTTTCATCAAACTATCTTAAATTAGAATTGCTGTATCTTATCTATATCTCTTGTATACATTATATTTTTGTTAAATTATACTTTCGTTGTTATTCTTCCGTTGATTGACATTTTAGAACAAACTCCTTTATTGATCGAAGTATCTAAAGTTTTTTGATGTCTTTAAAGTTTTATATCTATTAATCATCTACAATCATTTAACGTGACTATTGACAGACCCACATATTTATCAGAGTCAAATCTATTATTTGACAAACTTATCTATTTTTTGTGTAAGTATACAAATTTTAAACTCTCTCTCAATCTCTCCCTCCACATCATGTATCATCTTCTTCAACTCATTTGAATTATAATCAGTGACTCTTTGCCCAAATCAAAATGGGTGAATCATTTATAGTCTCCGCAACATCACTTTTCCTATCAACAATTGGTGCAGTGAGCGTAAATTATATATGATTCAAAAACAAGAAGTCCAAATAAACTCCCAAGAACAAATTAACCTACCTAGTTTTGATTTTCTTCCTAAAATCCCTTGAGATGCCTAGTTTTTTTCATCCAACAACAACTAGGAATGTATCACCCATCACACTACGACCATGATCAGAGCATCCTACATCACACTACGAGACTACCATGGTGCCTACAACCAAATCAATAAAAAAATACCCCCAACAGCTATACCAACAGTTCGCGTACTCCTATGACCAAAGCATCCTACATGTTCACAACTTGCATAATGAATTGCAAAGCTTGTATATGTATTTTCAAGCTTCCGAAGTGGTTCAGTTGCAACTACAACAACAAACCAACAATTGTAAGAGTTGATAAAAAAAACTCTTCAAAAGCTGCTAATCTCTCAAAATTAAGGAAGCATACACCAAAAAAAGAAAGAAGGAAAATCCAACACCAATGAGACATTATATTGATTTTACTCGAATGATAATCAACAACACAGTCATAGTCTTTACGTAACTCATTATATCTAGGTTGTTTCAACTATTTTTGTATCAACAAATACTTTGTGACTCTTATGGTCAGCGTATATATATATAACACCTCTCTCCAAAGAGATAACGTCTCTAAATCTTCAAGGCAAAGGATCATTGCAACAAACTCTAGATCATGAGTATGATAGTTATGCTCGTAAGAATTGAGTTACCTAGATGCTAAAGTGACCAATTTCCCCTCTTGTATAAGAATACATATGAGGCTATTTAATGATGCATCTCTGAACAACATATAATCTTTCTTGAACTCGGATTGAATTAAACACCGACACGTTATTCAAAATCACCTTTAATATTTATTCAACCTTTGTTGTCTCTCATCATTTTATTCAAATAGATTTTCTGTTTACAACAAATTGGTCATGGGCGTCGAAATCATTAGAAACCATTGACAAATTGCATGTAATATCCAACAAGACCAAAGAAACAACAAACTTTAAAAAGAATATAGATAAAAACTTTTAATTTTCAAATCGAAATCAAAGTAGAAAAACCTACTTATCTCGCACGTGGGAGTTTGAGCTATGCGCATATCTGGATATTTTGGTACCTGCAGTAAATTGTTGAGGTCCATTTGAGCTACCATGGTGGGAGTGTCGGCTGTCTCACTTTCAAGAATGGCTTTCATTTTCAAGTTTGCAATAAAAACAAAAGTTAATGCATAATTCCTTTTCCATTTAGAAATAAGCATAATTCTAGTAGCTGCCCAAAAAGAAAAGAAGCATAATTCCATGAATTCACGGCCAACAAAAATTCAACTTAAAAAGGAGATTCTCATGCATGTTTACAACTACATCAAACTAGAACCGTTGAGGATAATAAGGGTGTATTTGATAATGCTCTCTAAAATTATTTTTAGTTAAAAAATTCATTTTTATTGTAAAATCAATGTCACACGGATAAAAATTAAAATAATACTGTGAAAACGGAAGTTTCAAACCAACCACAATAACTAAAATTTATAGCTTTTTCATTTTCAACTTTGCGTTTAGAATCAAATTTATATTTTTACCCTTACTAATTCATAGTTTTCACTCATGTGTCATGAAAGATAACTTTAAAATTCAATTTCCTTTATTAATTACGTATTTACATTTTATTTCAATAATTTAATATTAATATCCTTAAAAAATAATTTATTGCTTAATAATTTATCTTAATTACTTAAAATTAAATAAAATTTATGATTTATATATTAAAATATTAATAATGAGTTATTATAAAAATATATCTTTATTATAATTATATTTTTATATTTTTATTATAATTTAAATTAATATGTTTCATATATAACAATAATTCCTTTTAAATTTATTTATAATATATATCTTTCTATTTTTTTAATTTTGAATGGATAAAAGGATAAAAAATGTCATTTAAATTATTTTATTTTAAAATTTAAATGAGTGATTGTGGTTAAATCAAAATAATTAAAATATTATTTTAAAATTTAGATGATAATAAGTATTGATAATATATTTTTTTCTTAATAAAAAAATAATATATAAAAATATTATTATTAATGAGTTATCTTAAAATATTTTTTTATATTTTTTCATAGTTTAAGTTGATATATTTTATATATCATAGTATTAATAAGTGTAAATATAATTTAAATGCTATATTTTTAATTTACAATATAATGTCTAAAATGAACATTTTATCTTTTCAAAATCAATTTTTAATAGCAATCCTAATCAGTTAAATTTTAAAGTGCATTTTTTAAAGTTATTTTCTATATCACTTTTAAAAGTCAATGCCAAAGTGGCCCTAACTATCCCTTCAACTCTAAAATACTTATCTCATATATCAGGCACAGACTAAAGGATCTCAATGATTAAATGATTAATTCTTATCACTTGAAGTTCTGGATTCGAAAACTACGTATGTAAAGGTATAAACGTTAATTGTTAATATATTGAGACTCTTTACACATATGCTACTTTGTATTCACCCAAATTTATCAAAAAAAATTAGATAAAAATATCAGTACAAAATAGATTATAAACAAAATATAAGTCGATTTGTAATATGTTATTGGAAAAAGGGTATGTGATGACCCTTGTACTTTTCCAAAAAAAACAAACAAACAATGTGACCCTCATCGTTTTTTATACACAATGTGACCCTCAAACTTAGAAAATAAATTAAATACGGCCATTTGACCAACGGTTTCCGTCGTTGAGCGTTATAGTGCTAACATGGCGGTCAACAATGGCTGATAATGTGGCAGATGGGCTAAATTGTTTTTTTCGTCGAGTTCTAGGGTCAAATTGAGTTTTTTTTTAATTTCAATGGCTTATTTGATTTTTCAGAAGAAAAAAATATTTTAGATTTTAGATTTTAAATTTAAACTATACAAATATAGAAAAAAAATTAAATAAAAAATAAAAATAAAAATTAAATTACTAAAAAAAGTTTATATATATATATATATAATAAAAAGAAAATATGAAGAACAAAAATGAGCAACTTGACCACCCAATCAAATATATTTGCTCGGAAATATTTTTTTAAAATTATGATACTTAAATTATTTTTAAATCTCAACCTTTAAGTTGAAAATAATAGATTTACATAACCATATTGAGCAAGTATATTTGATTGGGTGATCAAGTTACTCATTTTTGTTTTTCATATTTCCTTAGTAATTTTATTTTTAATTATATATATATATATATATAATTTTTTTAGTAATTTAATTTTTATTTTTAGTAGTTTTATATTTATTTTTTTATATATTTGTATAGTTTAAATTTAAATTTTTTTCTAAAAAAATCAAATAAGCCCTTGAACTTTAAAAAAAAACAATTTGACCCTCAAACTCGACAAAAAAAAAAAACTAATTTAGCTTATCTGCCACATCACCAGCCATTGTGGATATTCACGTTAACATCGTGAAGTGTCACCGTAACGGTCAACGATGGAAATCTTTGGTTAAAGGGTCATATTGAGTTTGTTTTTTAAGTTTGAGGGCCAAATTAAGTGCAAAAAACGATTAGAACCACATTGATTTTTTTAAAAAAATACAAGGGCCTCACATATCTTTTACCTATGTTATTTTCTTAAATCATGATAGAAAATTAAATATTTAATATTAAAAAAAATATATTAAGTCTTCATATTTTAAAATATTAAATGAAAGATAACACATACTAAAAATAATAAATAATACGGAAAAACAGATTGGGCTTTTCTGAAGCCTGATTCCAATCTAAAGGCAAATAAAGAAAGTTTGGGCTTTGGCATGAGCCATCATAATCAATCACGTTTCTCACACGTGTTTCCGTCAGAAAGGCAGAC